ATTGTCTATCATGCAAATAAGTATTGGCTGGAAAGGCCAACAGACTTGCAGTAAGAAAAAAAGATAAGCCATAAAGTTATAAAATACTAGCGCAGTTGATCAGTAGTATCAATTAATGACAGTTATAAAGTATATAAGCATTTAGAATCCAGGTATAAAGCAGGCTCTTTAGAAACAACGAACCAAGCAAATGAATTGAAAACCAAACCAACAAATATAAGATGGTAAAACTTGCTTTTCACTGTTAATAAACATTGAAACCATCTAATTTGTTTAATTTATTATTCATTCATACACAATGGACCATATATCAATAAGAAAACATGTAACACACAATTATGCATAAAAGAGACAGCAAATTAAAATTATGAAGAGCTCACAGAGACATCAAACTATTTAATAAATCATTATCAAGTGAAATTATATACACTAGTTTACACATTGCATGTAAAGTCAGCTAATGCCAATGACCAAACTAACTGCACCACGTTGTGTTTTTTCCAAAAAGAAATACATCTTTTGATTGTTTAAAGAGTAGCAAATTGAGTAACAAGCCTTCTAATTGTTTGCTCTCTTCTTCTTGGCCAAAACTAACATTAAAATCCTCAAAGGTATAAAATCGTTTTCTTTTAATCATATTATCAAATGGATTAAACAAAATTTAGAAATCAAGATATCAATTCAGGTTCCAGAAGTTACTAAAAATCAAACATAATACTAATAATTTAGCATAAATATAGAAAGTAATTTATTACCCAATGCTACTGAATCTTCCAAAATTGGGTAAAAAACCTTTGACCTTAAGGAACTCATAAGCAGTGCCAACAAGTCTCATGTCGTCAGCATTAAGGCATGTGTCTAAGACCTCCCAATCCCTCACCGACCCATCGAGAAAATCCAAAATGTCGCGTCGTGATCGAGTGGATAAGGAGCCATTTTCCTCAATAGGGTTATCGTTGTTGTCTTTTTCAATGGATATGAGGAACCTTAGAGCAGTAACTAAGTCCTTCTTCATTGTTTCCTCGTATTCTTTCCATTCCCTCAGAGCTCTTGGTGGGTGGTAATGGATTTTTTGAGTGGCGGAGGCGGTGTTTGGAAGGAAAGAAAGGAAATTGGACTAGGGTGTCCTCAAGTTTCTCTCTTCCCCCCTTTTTCCCCTTTTCCATACATGTTAATAACTTCCAAAATAAAATCCCAAATCTTTTCTGGTTATACTTTCTTATCATACACTAAATTATAAACAACTTGCTAAATTTAATAGATAATACTATTTGATAAAGCGAAGAATAATCAGTTTGGGGCATTGATTCTTTAGAGAAAAAAAAAGAAAAACAGCGACAATGGGAAATGTAATGAACCACAAGAAGTAGCTAAGACATTAACAGAAAAGAGATTGTAAAGACTTCATACCATACTATCGTAACCTTGGATCAATCGCGAATAATCAACAACGCCATTTTCCCCCTTTTTGGATTTACCCTCTCTTGCCCCATGCCTCTCAGACCTCTATGACTCCCGCGGCGATGAGCAACACCAGTTTTGCGTGGATGAAAAAGATGAAAAAGGGGAAAGGGATTTGAAAAAATAGATGTAATGGCGAGAAAAAAAGGCTTTCATAAGTGAAAAAGAAACTATGTTCGGCGGAGATGGGCAAGAGGAAAAGGGGATCGTGGGAACAAATGGAAAAGGGGAAAGGGATTTGAACAATTAAAATTATCAAATATTACGGCGTTTGTTAACAAAAACGCCACCATTTATCATTTTATAGCGGCGTTTGCATTTTCTAAAAAACGCCGCAAAAGTACATATTTTTTACGGTGTTTGTGTAAAAACACCGCTACAGTTCTAATCTTTTGCGGCGTTTATTGAAAAAAATGCCATTATAGGTGAACTCTGTTATGGCGTTTTTATAAAAACGCCGCTAAAGTAAAAATTTGTTGTGGCGTTTGTCAAAAAATGCCACTATAGATGGACCTATTGCGGTGTTTATATAAAAACACCGTTAAAGTACTACTCTTTTGTGGTGTTTTCGGAAAAACAAAACGCCACTACATATATACCTATTGCGGTATTTACTTTCCAAACGCCGCTAAAAGCGCTGCTACAGAACAATTTTGTTGTAGTATTTTTTTTCTATTTAAGTACTGAAACTCTATAAACTCTTTTAGTACTAGCATTAGGTGTTTGTATCCTTCATCATGTTATTGTAGTGTTGACATACTCCCATTATGCTGTCAAAAGTGGAGATATATTCTCTTTTGTCAAGTATGCTGATATGACTCCACATTAATTGATCAAATGAGCTAATATGCTTTTTTATCCACTAGTAACAATATGCCTATACACCTAGAAACCCTCGAGATGTCTTAAAAGGGTATAAGAAATACTCATCCTCAAGCTTGCGACTTATGAGAACAACCTAAGGGGTTGAAGAGTTTTTACTGTAACTATAGAAATGATTCTATTGTATCTTAAGGAGCACCGAGATGTTATTTACCCTAACAAGACGTATTCAAACTCTTCATTTGTACCAAGATAAAAATGTTTTAGTTACACCAGTAGAACATTTTGAAAGCGTGAAAATGCCTAATACATGTTGTACGTTGATGCAAATTAAGTTTCCTTATAAAACCGACTGAGGGCATATATATGTCTTCATACCTCTATAAACTACTCCTAATTCATTACCATACCACTAGGTGTCAAGAAGTCTTCACCCAAAAGTATTTAGTTGTTTCTTCATAGATCATAATATTATATCGGGTGAAGTTGTTTCACATTTTTACTATCATGATGCTACATATCCTTCAAAGAATGTTGAGATGTCTTCTTTCGGTAATAGAAATTACTTTTTTTTTATTATAATTGTAGAGATACCTTTGTCTTAGTAATGAGAGATAAACATCTCTGCATTACCTCTACCATAGGGAGTTAAGAAGCCTTCACTTAAAAATGTCAAGATGCCTTTGCTAAACTTATATCAAGAAGAAGTTGCCTCACACTCTAGTCATCACAGCTTTATGGATCCTCTAGTGAGGGTTGGTATGCTTTGCTCAACAACAAGAAGTTTTTGTAGTTATTCTGTGTAAATATGCCTTAGCCACAACAAAGAGAACAAATATCATCATTTGTTTTTCCTACCAACATAAAGAAACCTTCATCCATCGACTAGAATCTTCTGATGGTGTTGAATTGGCTCTTATATTGTCTAAAATATAACGATACCTTATACAAACAATAAAATATAATAATTTCTCCAACCAACTGGGATAAAGATATCATCTTCAAGGTTGATAAAAACTTGTCATTGATCTCCATAATGTGTGGAGATTATTATAACAAAAATTGATTTCCATAACACACCTTAACACCACACTAAACACAAGGTATCATGCTAAAATGACCTTTTGGTGTCATCTCCACAATCGTACCTCAAAGTCTTCAAAGAAAAAATCTCTCCATAGGTAGGATCTTGAAAAAAACATCTCCAATAAAAGAACTTCGATAATTCAAAAGACAATGAGAATATTTTTGAAAGAAGAATTTTAAATATCTAATATCTTTTGGGAAGTCACAATATTTTGATATTACCTTTAACAAGCCTATATGACCTACTAGGGTTAAATATATTGCTAATTGGTCATATTCGCACATCGTACTAGTTTATGGGTAGTCATAATGACTCTACACTTGGCATCGACTCCAAGATTCACACTAACCAACCCATAAATACATCAGGTCTTCACTATCGAAAAAAACACTCTACTTTTTCGTTTTGTTTTCCTTTCATGTTTTTGACAGTGGTGGCTCTGATGCTTGGACGACAGATTCAGATAGCAATGAAGCATGAATTGGTGAGAAAATTAACATATTTCAAGTTTCGAAGCTGAATGACAAAGATCATAGGGTAAAGAAGATGAAAAGTTACGATGTCAATTTGTCAAGTTTAAGACTTTTCCCGATGAAACCAAGGTCAAATTTGTGCTCAGGAGGTTAAAGCGATTTTATTGATGTATTTTGGAGTTCAACGACTGATAGAGGTGATTAATAAATAAATTATGTTAATCTAATCCAAAATGTTATTTAATATATATTAATTTTGTTAAGAATATAATAAGTTTTTAAGTTAGCTTGGTGGTTGGATGTTTAGTATTCTTTTCTAAAGACTTTTGGTTTTAATCCTATTAAAAAGCATTTTTTTTTCAATAACAAAACGACATCGTTTTGGATTTTTTGTGCACTAAAATAGTCGCACAAAAACGATATCGTTTTGGCGAGGCAATCACGTCAGCAACATTACGGCGCACAACTATCACGTCATCGTCTCGTTAAGTCATTAATGGCAGAGTGACATAATTGCACTTAAAAGTAAACGACAATGTTAAAATTGACAAAATTGAAAGTTTGATGGTATAAATGAGTAAACGCTTAAAGTTTGGTAAATTTTGGGTTAAATTGTGGTTAAAACTAGTTGCATATATGTATTAATTTGGGGATGAAATTGGAAGGTCCAAAAGTTTGAGGATTAATTTACAAAGAGTGGTATAGTCTATGGATGAAATTAGAATGTTCAAAAGTTTAAGGATTAATTTAACATGAGAGTAATCATTTGGGGATGAAATTGAAATATTCAGAAATTTAAGGACTAATTTGAAATGAGGACTATAATTTGGGGACATATGAGTGCAATTAACTATTTGTTCTTTAATATTACCATATATCAATATTATTTTGACGGAATATTACCATAACCGTTCACATTACTGAAAATGGCGGCGAACCTTGAACACATCAGATGAAGATGGCCTTTGCCACTCTTTTAAAGGAAAAATCCAAAAAACATAGCAATAATCTGAACAGACTCACTCCATTTTAGGTTTCAGATTTGCTCATAAATGATTTTCCATTGTTAAAATTCTCACCATAAATGCACAACCCCATTTCAGCTCCTTATAATCGTTTGCATTTCCAAGCATTGTCGTATCATCTTCATACAAATTCTCTAAAGAAAAACTTGAAGCAATCAAAGATGAATAATTCCCTAATTTCTTCTATTATCTTCTTTCACCTTTTGATCGTTTCCGTAAGGTCCGACGTCCTCAGTGATTCTTGCAGCCAGGCTGCCAAGGGCGATCCCAATATAAACGTCGACTTCTGCGTTTCGAGCCTCCGAGTGGATCCCAAAGCCAAAAGCGCCACCAGCGTTGCCGATTTGGTCGACGTCGCGATCAACACCGCCGTATCGGATGCGACGAGCATAGGGTCGGTCATATCGAATCTCCTGAGTAACAAAGGCCTCGAACAGTACGTGAGGAGATGCCTGGAAGATTGCTCCGAGCTTTACTCTGATGCAGGGTCGAACTTAAAGAGTGGTGAGCAGGCTTTCGAGGGTAAAGATTATGGAAAGGCTAATTCAGAGATAAGTGCCGCCATGGATGCATCGACCACCTGTGAAGAGCAGTTCAAGGAGAAGAAAGGGGTGGCTTCGCCGTTGACGAAGGAGAACGGCGATTTCAATCAGTTGACCGCAATCTCTCTTGCATTCATTAACATGGTCCAAAAATGATGATAAAACTTAGCGTTACATCAATAATTAAGCACATTTGTGTTATAAAAAGTAATACTAAACAGATTTTTTTTTTGCAGTTTTTGTATCTCATAAGTAATGGGTTTATTTGTTTCTTTTAGTTTCTTCTGTTTCATGATCTGTTCCTTAGCACTTAAATTGAGATGCAGCCTGAAAGGAAGTATAAAAGATGAAAATATTCTTACCTCATATTGATGTTTCATCCTCTTAATGTTAAAAGGCCTGTAACGTACTCCAATAATATACTTCAACATCTTAATTTCTTAACAATAGTAACGAGTTATATTACCATTAATCATATAACAATAAATATTTTTATAAAGGTCGTGTTTGAATTAAAAAAATTTAGAAATGATAATCATTAGTTTAATTAACGAGGTCATTTGATCCATGTCTTCAAAATTTCATTGTAAAGTTTACTTGGATTAAATCTTTTTTATAAATGCAAGTTTTACTTTTTTTCCCTGATTAATTTGGTGTAAATATAAGACGGTTGACATTGAATACCCATGACATTTTTGAATCCGATACTTCAAAGAATAACAACAATTCATTTACCATCAAGATCATTTGATTCATGTTCGGATTTTAACTTCGGTTGCTGTAAATGGGATTCCTTTTTACAAAAACTACTTCCAGTTCCGGCTACGCCTGAGATTTAGAAGATTAATTACAAATAAATAAAAAGATTTTAATATAAATTATAATTAGAGACATATGCGATGAATTTTAATTAAAAATATCTAAAATATATAATAATTTAAATTTTTTAAAAATAACCGTGAAGTTCAATTTTTCTCTAATTATAATAATATATTATAATAAAAAAATAAATTGAAGCCTGGAATGATTATATAAATGATTGTGTTTAATCCGATAAACTCAATTAATAAAGCTATCATTATATCATAGGAAGAGAATCAACAGCTTCAATAAATTTAATAAAAACCACTCGCCATTTCCCCACATCACTTTCACAAGTTTACGCCTACTACAGATTTCTCCAAACTCGAACGATTTTCATAAATTATTTCCTCTTTTCTTAGAATGAATTTGGATATTATGAAAAATTTTTTTAAAAAAAATCAAAAGTGCTTTCATTTTCCATATAATTTTGGACAACTTCGAAAATTTTAAAGAATAATAAATTCTTTCATTTCCAAATAATTTTGGATGACATCGAAAATAAAATTTAAAAATCACAATTCCGTTCACTTTTTCAAATAAATTCAGATAGTTTTCAACTCTTTAATTTTCTGCACAAACCTGCATATACACCCCACAATTTCGAATATAACATGGGTAACAATGCACGAATTAAATGATTTCATTGTTGTTATTTTTTGAGATCTCGAATTTAAACACAAAAAATACTAGAATAACCCTAAAATCCTTATAAGTAGGACATCCAACATAAGTGTATCATTGATGAATGATCATTCTAGTATGTCGTATGTCTTCTTAAGTCCTATCTTAATCGTCGACTCATTCATCCTACATTTTCTTTCTTTTGTCGCATCAAATAAACCACTTCTTAAGCTATTGGCAGTGAAAACAATGTCAAACACCATAAATTTATCGGAAGTGACCCCAAAACAATGGCATCATAAACTAAGAAAAATAATTCCCTTAATTTCCAAGAAAATTTGAGAAGAGGAAAATCAGTGGTCAAAAGTGATCAGAATGAATCGGTGGTAGTCTAAATCTGAATTCATTCAAGGTAAAGAGAGAAAAATGGAAAAAAAATAAGAAATAAAAAAATTATTTAAACCAAAACGATGTCATTTTGATCTAATTTTATTTTGTTATAAGATTTAAAATTATATCATTTTAACATTAGTTGCATTGTTATAATATTATTAATTATTTAATGGATAAATGACTGACACAAAAATAATTCAAAAATCCAATGATTAGATTAAAAAGTTTTAAACTTTAATTTATGAATGAGAATTGAGAAATATCAAACGAAGGAAGGCCAGGCTCTGTTCTTTCTTCTTTCCCTCCCTCTTTCTAGCGGTGAGTAGTTAAACGAAAATAACGTCGTTGATGTCGACGTAGCCTCGAAAATGCCTTCACCAACGCCCAAAAAGCGTTCAAAATCGGAGCACAAATCGTATTCTTCATCATCCGCTTCAAAATCTTCATTAAGCGCTATAATCGAGCCACCCCAGAGCTTATTCCCTTCGCAAGGAGAGTTTTTGCGGCTCATAGCCGTACTCGCCATCGCATCCGCAGTAGCTCTCTCCTGCAACTTCTTCGCCACCTTCTTCACCTCCACCTCTAAACCCTTTTGCGATACTAACGTAGACCCCGCCGATTCTCTCTCTGGTAATTTCCGGGTATCTTCTTCTCCTCCTCTCTCTCTCTCTCTTTTGTGGTGTAAGTTCCTTCGTTTTTGTTCAACTTTGCTTTCTGGGTATATTTTCCTATGAATTTTCATCCACTTTCTGCTGTTAATTCGGTTTTCTTTGTAGCTTTAGTTATGTGCAGTTTATTCCATGTTTCTTATGAGCCATATATACTTGCATGATGCTACGTAATTATAGTTTCAAAATCCCTGCTTCCTAGTGATATAATTCAAAAATCTAATGACAAACGTGTCTCACTACAGATTCTTGTGAGCCTTGTCCAAGTAATGGGGAATGCTATGAAGGCGAGTTGGAATGTATTTATGGCTATAGAAGACATGGAAAGCTGTGTATAGAAGATAAAGATATCAATGAAACAGCTAAGAAACTCGTGTGTCATTAATATCTTGCTCAGTTTGGTATATTGATATTCGAAACACCACAATTGCATCTTTTCTCTTGGAATGCTGCACGAATTTCTCTCTCTATCTTCTGATTATCATTTATGCATTGCAGTCCGAATGGGTAGAAGCCGGCCTTTGTGAAGCTTATGCTCAAGTTATGTGCTATGGGACTGGGACAATTTGGGTATCTCATGATATTCAATTCCCTATGATATTATCCTAGAAACCATACATTACTGATGTCCATTGTTCTAAACATGTGCCGCTTTCAGGTTCGAGAAAATGATATGTGGAATGATTTAGATGAGCACAAGTCTATGCAAAATGTTGTCTCAGACCATACAACATATGTGTACACAAAAAGAAGAGCAATGGAGACAATAGCTAAATTATTAGAGACAAGAACAAATCTCCATGGGTATGCTTGTCATAATCTCTGTTATGCTTCAGCATTTGGAAGATTTTAATTTACATTAATCTTATTTTTTTTAATAGGTTACTGGAATTCAAGTGTCCAGATGCTATGGCAGAGTATTACAAACCCTTGACCTGTCGTATCCGTGAATTCGTCTCCAAGCATGCTCTTATTATTGTGCCTGTTTGTACAGTGGTAATCCCTTCAGAAAGCCATCCTTTGAATACTTAAGTTACACCAACATTTTGAAAGTTGTTAACAATATTTAACTTTATAGCTTAAAGGATGTGCGGTATTGTTTTGGAAAGTCCGTCGGAGAAGGTATCTTTCAGCTAGAGCAGAGGAGCTTTATAATCAGGTAGACTAAATTTTCAATGTACAGTTATTGTAAATTAATGGTTTATTTTGCTTGCATACAGTAATAATGATGATAATGAAAACGATAATAATAAATGGTAACCAATTGCTTTTACCTGTCAGGTCTGCAATATGCTTGAGGAGAATGCGTCGAGGTCGAAGAGTGTCGTTGGAGGAGGTGAACCATGGGTTGTTGCCTCATGGTTGCGAGATCATCTCCTTTTGCCTAGAGAAAGAAAGGATCCTCAGTTGTGGAAAAAGGTACGTTTAACTATGCTCATTGATCTGATAAGTTGTTTCCTGTCATAGCGTGTTAGAAATCAGACCTAATCCATGATTTTATTTTATGTTAATAGATTGAAGTTTGAGTTGCAAAGAAATTGTTAAAAGTAGAAATAAACACATCCTCTAAGTTGATATCAACCGTTCAACTTCTTTCCAGGTTGAGGAATTGGTACAGGACGATTCGCGAGTAGATCGTTACCCCAAGCTTGTTAAGGGTGAATCAAAAGTGGTGTGGGAATGGCAAGGTTCAAGACCTTTATTTGTGTGTTTTACTTGTTCAATAAGGAGCTTGAAATTTAACAAAACTCATCCCCTGTGCTTACGGAGTTTCTTGAAAACCACGATCCTATGGTCTGATGTTCAACTTGATTCTCCAATCTTGATGAGTTCCACTTAATTGTTTTGCAGTTGAAGGTTCTTTGAGCTCTGCAGGGAAGAGAAAAAAAGAGGGAGTCGAAGTGAAATCAGATGAAGGCATCAACACAAACGTAAATCAATCAGGGCAAAGATCGGAGGCTGGTGCGCTTTAGTACATATTATATATGCACATGATCGAATTCTGGATGCAGAACCAAAAACACTGATCTTTTGACATATATATGCAAAATACCAAAATAGTCAAAGATCTAAAGAGCAAGTTTCCACCATTTGGCAGTGGATTCTACAGCCTTTGGAGATTGTTTTGGAGGTTAAACTTACTAGGCAACTCCTTGTGCACATGACAGCGATCATAAACCATACATTATACAGTGTATAGAGCAGAACAGCTTTCTGCTCATCTGTTGCACCAACTGACGAATGGAAAGAACATTTTTTGTTATCAAATATAAAATAATAAATAGTAAATAACTTTAAAATTGTTTAACCAAATAGATCAAATTGACAAGAGACCAAAAATACAACCAGAGATGATGCTTTCACAGAAGATAGAAATGATGATCACTTTTCAGTCAATTTGAGCTATTTTACTATATAATGTAAAACTCTCCTAATCTCAATTCTGAGAATTTCAGGTTCAACTCTCTAACCTATAGTATTCAACGCAGTATATAAACTATAAAGCACGAATTTTTAGTTAGTTAGTTATTTTCATGCCCTCAATGATTCAAAGACATTGTAATCCTTTTCGTTAATGATGTAACCATCATGTTTAGGAGTTACAAGCTCAAATCATTTTGGCATAAGACTAATAATAACTAATTGATAGGACTTTCATTCAAAATTTAGCATGACCTAATAAACTTAGAGCATGCTAAATTTTAAACAAAACACCTATCATCAGCTATTAAAGCCTACAACCAATTATTAAAACATCTGTAAATCAAAACAATAAATTTAAAGCAATGTCGACAGTATACCTCTACCTCATCGGGTTTGCTTTTCTTTCTTAAAAAGGCTACAATATGTTCAACTAAAGAGGATTCACAAAAATTTTCATATAAAATTTTCAATTTTTCTTAATTCAAAAAGCATAAGCACACCCACAATGTGAACTTAAAATTTAATCACTAAACCTTAAACAGAAAATTCAGAAAGTGAACTAAAAAAGACAACCTAATGAGCAATCTGAAAAGGAATTCAGCTAGAAAACACCCAAAGCATATATAATTATCAAATAGAACATCAAGTAACTGCAAAATTATTAAATGCTACGTAACCATTAAGTGTAGACATTAATCAAGAGCCCAAAAACAATGATATCATACAGACGGAAAACAACCTTTAATCAATAACTAATGCAATTCAATTTAACCATACATTATTTTGGAAACGAAATCAAATCCAAATATCAACTACTATGCTATGATAAAGAATCCTATAGGCTAAACTTGAGATCTGATATTTATTGCTAATAATGTTTTCAAACACAATGGAAAAGCAAGCTTCGAGTCTCCTAGGTGATAATCCAAGAAATACTAACAATTCGAGATTCATCATGTATAATGACACAGAAAAAATTACAGTGAAACCAGGAAAAAAGAAGAATAAAAAGCAATCAAAACCTGTCGGAACTTCAATGTACATCAAGTTTTTAGATCAGTCCATTGAATTTCTGTCATCACATCGCTTTTATCCCCCCTTTTCTTAAAAAAGAAACAGAAATCCATTTTTGTTTTTGCTTTTTTTTAAAGAAGAATGGTGAAATCAGAGCTTCTTATAGGGAATGTGTTACCGTCATAGATAATTCCTCCGGTAGAGAAAACGGCGTTCATCACCGCAGTCACCGTACAGAAACAGAGAGAAATAATCATTGATTAGTATAAATAAAATCGAAAGAATAGCTTATGAAGTAGGAAAAGAACTTAAAAGAGTATTTATAGGCACTGAGAGAAGCCCTAGCAGACTTCTTACTAGTATTCTAAATGGTAAACTATACTACTGGTCACCAAACTAAGCTGAAATGATCTATTAGTCTACTGATATTTCTGAAATTATCAATTAATCATTAAATTTTTAATTTTATTATAAAATGATCATCATATAAGACTTTCAAAAACTAAAATTAGTGGAATGCGTTACTTTGTGGACTTACTAAGCGTATAGTTTAGTTGTGAACCGTTTGCATGGCTAGTCAAGTGGAGCAGCAGCGTCAGTTTGTGGTGTTCCCCTTCATGGCACAATGTCATATGACCTCCATGATCGACATAATTAACTAGATTTCTGGCACAGCTTGACATAGATCGCCATATGCAGCTAGATTATTTCGAGCAACCTTCAACCGTGCCAAAGAATCGATGCTCTCGATCCGTATAGTTGCCGAATATGAAGCTTCGACGTGCTGCCTTCCTTTAGCTGAGCCTTGAATTTTTTTCCAAGCAGCCAACACTGTAAAGAAAACAGTCCAAAATTTGTTGCATGCACGAACCCAGTCTCTGTTGTTATCTTACAAACTCACCAACAGTTTCATATCTCCTTTGTATCGTTGTTTTTATGTGCAGAATTTATACAATTGTCTTGATATAAAAAGAAAAAGAAGTCATTTCTTTTTATAACCAATAATTATCGGCCAGCTATTGAAGACGAGAAAAGGGACTGATTCACAAGAAGGAGTCCAACGTTGACCGGGATAGATGATGCGCAATTGGAGAGTCATCCTGTGTTGTAGTGTAGTTGGTTATCACGCCAGTCTAACACACTTCGGTTCAGGTCCGTACGATGCCATATTTCTTTTATTTTTCAGCTTCTTTTCCTAAAAAATAGGGACGGAGGAAAAACAAAGTCATGCGCCATTACCGAGGATTGAATCCAAGTCACCCGATAGACTAAAATACTTACAACCATGCTACAACGACTTTGTTGTTGAAGGTTTTGTTATTTATACACCCGATCCATCTAACAGGGTATAAATACATCTTTAATGATTTTGATTCAATTTGGTTCATATTCATATAATTACGTGTTTTTTTTTATATGTACAATGAGCTTATTATCCCTTTTCTTTTGTTACTCTTTCGGTTTCCAAGGCTTAGCCTTAGATTAATCTCGATCGACCCAAGTCGTACATCTAATTTTGATGAGTGAGTTTCTTAATAGGGATTTTAGATTCATTAATTTTATAATTTGGTCGCAAACCAAATCCGCGGATCTTTGATGAGGTTCCTATAAATGAAAGCGACCAATACAAAGAAAAATAAAAGGGTAGCTGTGCAAAGCAAACCTGAGGGATAAGCCAAAGAAATTAAGCCTTAATAATATTCAAGATTGGTGCCTGCTTCCCCTTGATGGCCCCTATTATAAGCCTAAAAACATATACAAACTGTTTGTCCCATATATCATTAAATAAAGCATATATTCTATTCGATTCGTGGCGTATCTCTTTGCTCAACAACTTGAAATTTTGCTTATGCTTCATTGGCACGACGAAGTTGGTATCGTGAAGAATATGTTGTGGAACAATTTGATTCGAATCACACGTAGGGGTGTGACCAACATATCTAATTAGACGAATCTAATATCCTAAATCCGTTAATGAGTGAAAATAGATGATTGTGATTAACACTATATTTTCCCCCTATTAGTATATTATTATTTTCTATTGTTAATCTCATTCGTATGTTTTTATTCATCCAACTACCATAAATTTGTATAAAACTAAAATATTTTCTCATATATATATATATATATATATATACAATTATATATATATATTGAGTAAATGATAATTTATGTCATAGATTTTGATATGTTTGTTATTATACTCTTTTGGATAATATACACAAATAATTATTAAATTATATTTAAATGATTCATTTCATCATTAAAACTTTAAAATAATAAAATAGTTATTAAATTTTTCAAACATAGTCTACACCTTTATTTAAATTTGCATTGATTAGCCAAGGATTGACCTATAATTACATATAGCAAGGGCAATCTTCCCCTCATGATTGAAAGGAAGAAAACAAGAAGATTCTTCTGGATTGGATAAATGGGTCGTCCTCTTTTTTTTTAGGTTAAGAGTCGCATATTGTGATTTTGTTAAAGAGGTAGAGAATAAATGAGGTCAATAAGATAATGAATAGGTCAAGGTTTAAGAGAAAAACATCATTTACCTAGCCTTGCATCGTGCCTTATGTATAGATTCTTAGTATTGGTGTCATGCTTAGGATGATGACGACTAATTGTAAGTTAACAGGTTAAATAGATATGATTGTCGATTAGTAGGTTTAGCTGATCAAATAGGCCTACAAGTAGTAATTTCAAGGCATCATGTCAAGGGATTGTGATTGTCTAAAGGATATAGAGCTCCAAAGGCTTTAAAGAATTTCGGAGGTTTTAGGAAATTCTAGAGAATATTAATATATGGAAAAATGAAGATAGAGATATTGTAACACCCTAGACCAGTACAACACACAGTCGACTAATGTAGAATGCCACACGAAATCACCAAAGTGGGTGACCAACACCTTACTCTTTTCTTGTACTATAAAACGATCATTTCCACAAATAAAACATCTACGAAATAATATAATTTAAAAATTTATACTAGGGAGTTCCCAAAATAAATATTTACAATCAAAATATTACAGACCGACTCTAAATAAAATTTACGACTAAACTAGTACAACAAGGTTTATAAAATATTCATGTCCTTCAAAAATTGTTGAGACGCACTTTTAATAAGTATTGGGTATGGACCTTGATCTATCTATTGATCATCGAACTCTCGATCTACCAACCTACCCATAGAAAACAATCTAAGGTTAGCTCAGCTCCACACTAACAATAAATACATACTAAAAGTTTGTCACTAAAATGCTCAAGCTATCAAGTCTACTGGTCTATTCTTTTATACTTTAGTGAATATACTCATATACTCACTTTTTATTCTATGGTATACATCATAGTGCGGCTGAGGGTTCTACATATCAGAGCTCACAAACCCCTCTAGTCTATCGAGAATATGGCCCCTGGAATCTCTACATCGGACACCACACTCTCGACTAGGTCGGACCTTTCGCCCAAACTAGTTAGCTTAAAGTGCCTTGTGTACTCCCTAAGGATATTCGAACTGGATATATATTTTCGACTCTACTATCTTTTCTAAAGGAACTCGGGTGTTCTGGTCGTTTTCCCGAGCATTCAAACAAG